CAATGACATGAGACAAAGTATATGTGAACTGCTGTATGAAAAGTGAATTTACTCTGTAAATCTTCACCCAAATCCTAAAAAAAAAAAAAAAAAAAAAACAGTCCCAGGCAAACTAAGACAAAATGGTCGTTATTTTCTGGACAGGAATTTCCAGTGGCAAGTAGAAGAGTCATGTTGACACAAGTGGCCTCAGTTCTAGTTAACTTGTGTGGCTACATTTGACTTAGTAAGAATTCATCTATTTCTTCTTTACTTCACTCCTGGTCTCAATTAGCCCTTTTCTTGAAGTCATCCAGTGCCTTTTGTAGAGGACTTAAGCCAGTTGTCAGATCATATGAGTCAATATACATGTGATTCATGAAAAAATTACAGTGTAACTTTTATGGGCCACTTAGCTCAGGGCCCCATGGGAGTTTTATTATTGAAATTAAGCTCATTAATGGTGTTAATTCTTTATGAAATCAGTCCTGCTGGGTACATGTTATGCACAATATTGAACAATTTTTTAAAATTCAGTGATAGGCAGAATTTCTAAGGCTGTTTTTCTAAAATTGTAGGAACAAATTAATGATATGATTTTAAAAACTAAGTAATTTTGAGTACTAACATAATTAAAATAATGTTTCCTTTAAAATACTATATTGTATGTATAAGTATGGGTAGATGAATGGGAATATACCCACAACCATACATAGGTTTGACAGACGATACTCCTATATACATATTTGTATGTGGTATAGAAATGCCCATATATGGTACAGAACTAATAGGGGACAAAGTCAGGGTAACTTCTTAGCTATAACCAAGCACCTTGAGGCAGTGAGTTGCTGGGCCTGCCTGCAGGCTCAGGACTATGGTCGCAGGGGACATCAAGCTCAATTGGTACAATATAGTACACAAAAAAGGGAGCTCTGGTGGTGCAGTGCCTAAGGCATTTCACTGCTAACCGTAAGGTTGTGGTTCAAACCCACCAGCCACTCCGTGGAAGGAAAATGAGGTAATACACTTCTGTAAATATTGAACACCTTAGAAACCCAATGGGAGTCGCTGTGAGTTGGAAACGACTACATGGCAGTGAGTTTGGGTTTTTTGGATAGAGTGGGAGAAAACTTGTGGAACAAAATTCAAAACTTAATAAAGACCAGGATTACTAGCTGGATAGAGACAAGTGAAACTCCCTAGACTATGGCCTCTAGTCACCCTTCCGGCCTGGAATTGAATTAAGCTGCGGCTTAACTCTCAACCAAACAATGGACAGGCATATAAGCTGAACAATTACACTAGGGAGATGTAGTTAGAACAATCAATCATGGGAGATCAGAAAGGCAGCATTTGCACAGGGACACAGCTAAGGAGGCAAGAATGCATAGGCAAGGACACAGGGAAAGGGTAACCACAAGGAGGAAGTAGGAAGAGCTGTTATGTTGAGGGAATTGTAATCAATGTCACAAAACAAAATGTATACAAACTTTTGAATGTAAAAGGAATCTGCTTTAAAATTTCATGCAACTCATAATACAAAGTTTATAAAGTCCATATTTCTGAGTTTTAATGACATTGCTCCAAAATGGCACATTTGTAAATAACTTGAAAATATTAAACAACTCCCTGCAGTGCTGACTGTAAAAGAAATCAGTTCTTTAAATAACCTATTTAAAAGAGCACTTGGGAAACTGAAAGGCTGCACCAAACTCCCTTTTGTCATTATTTCAGGTGCTTTTGTGAGCAAAGCTTGTTTTACCTAGCAACAGTTGCTAAGCAAGTTGACAACTTGATTTTACAGTCTGAGAGGGGGTAATTGCTAAAGCTCTCCAAATCCAGCCCTGCCTTATGCAGCTGAGACTTTCAGTGCCATTTTTAACATTAGGCACTTGACCATTCTAATCATGGCGAATTATTTCATCCTTACCAGCATCTAGCATTGTTCTAAAATTTTGAACCTCTTTCAGCTTCCTTAAACTTCTACCTTTTCTTAAAACTACTCTTTCTGAGCCTAAATAATGCTTAACTGTACATAGCAGAAGAACTCTTAAATTTAACTATGATCAGAAATCCGAATTACTCGAGTTTTGTATGTTGTGCTGTTTGTAATAAAATAATCCCACCAGCCCCTGCTGGGGAGATCTTCAAACGAATCCATGAATACAAGCCATTCAAGACACGCTTTTATACTCACAAAGATATACTGGGTAAGTGACTTTCTGTTTTCTTTTGTTCTGATGTTACATAGGGGAGCTCTGGTAATGTAATGCCTGAGGCACTTGACTGCTAACTAGAAGGCTGGCAGTTCAAACCCTTCCTCGGAAGGAAGATGGGGCAATCTACTTCCTTAGTGATACCACCTTGGAAACCCAAGGAGGGGTTGCTATGAGTCGGGTCTGACTTGACAGCACATAACAACAATAATGTTAAACAGTGTTATATGTAATTCTTCCTTTTACTGAGACTTCTAACAACTCCTCCCTGGTCAAAGTCACTTGTCCCTATGGAGGAGCATCTGTTTGATGTTAGTAGAAGAATCCTGGCTTCTCCACTTACCCATTGTGTGGTGTGGGCAGGGTGTTTAGCTGCTTGATCTGTTTATATGTAAATAGAGATATTAATACCTACCTTGCCTTGAGGCTTTATTTGTACCTATTATTAAGCCTGGTACCTAATCGAGAGTGAATGTTAGTTCTTTTCTCCTATCCCCATACTTGGGCACCTTCCTTACCGTAGGATAATACATACTCTAATAAGTGGGTGAAAGAAACAATACATTTTAATTAGTAACTGGTGATATAAATGTAGGTACACATAGGTAACGTGGGACTATTTACTTTTTATACAACTCTCACAAGCAAATCAAATTGTAATTACATGTTTCTGTCTTCTCTCCTTTGTTCCCATCAGAGTTTCCAGTCTGATTTTGAGCCTTTTAAGTGCTTTCCAAAGGACTCTCAAAATGCTTCTCTGTTCCTCTTTCTTTAACATGGTAACTTAATGGTGATTTGACTTCACTCCTGGTCTTTGCAAATATGAGAAACTAGAGAATGGAGGGCATTTTGAAAAAACAAAAATGTATGGTGGTATCATATTGGAATCATCCTCTAAAAATTTGTCAATACCAAAATGATTTTAACTTTTAGTATATGTAGTATGTATTCTTAATTATGTAGGCAGTCCCCAGTTACCAATATCTGACTTACGTACAACCCATAGTTACAAACCAAACCCATAAAGCCTGTGCAATGTTTTAATACCTCTTCAAAATTGAGTCACTGCCCTATTTTGAGTGGCAAAATGTGCTCCCTTTCTGCAGGCCATTTATTTCAGTTTAATTACCTAGTTGCTTACTGTGTGGACTGATGTGATGAGGGGAATGGCTGACTCAATACAGACCTAACAATGCTGTGAGTTTCCCTCTCATCAGGGAGAAATTGACCCCTATTACTGGTATTTTTAAAGAAAAGATTGACATCTAAAATGATACATCTCTTAGATAGTCCTAGTAAATAACTAGAAATTGGTGAAAAAGAAAGCCAGGAAAGAAGCCTGTGGCTGTCTGTAATTGTTTTTCTCCACATACACAGATATTGGGGCAAGTATTCAGAATAAAGAAGAACAATTTCAAGAAGCTCTGCTCAACCAACGCATTGCAAAAGTAGAAGCTGAAGTGTGGGCTAAGGTAAAAGAAGTTAGAAATCAACCTAAAATGCATCTTTATAGTTCTTTCACTTTATTGATTTGTTCCAAATGATATCTTAGTATAGTAGTCAAGAGCACAGGCTATAGAATCAGATAGAGCTGACTTTGAACCCTGGCCTGAACCTTGGGCAAGTTTCTCAACTTCTGGAGTCTCTTCTTATAGCTTCTTAACCTATAAAAGAGGTGCATTGATACCCACTAGAGCATTGTTGAGAGGTTCAATGAACTACTGTGTCCTCTGTATGGATAATTCCTGCTCCCTTTATTCTCATTTGGTTAACACAAAGAAGAATGAAGAGGATGTCCTTGTTGACAACCATTTATTATTGCTTAAACTTTAACTTGTAGGCCATTTTTGCAGTGTTTAATACCCCCAGACTAAACGCCTGTTTTTTCCAAATGCTTCATCATGACCTGCTTCCATTTTCATCCTTTCTTTCTTCTCCACCTTTCTCCAAAATCCTTGATACCTTGCCCATAGGAATGCTGAGTGTCATGGGGCCATTTCAGTGTGTCAGGGCTCACAGTGACATCCCAGACACCTAACTGAAGCAAAGCCTCAATCTCCCAGCCCCCACTTCTTATAATCTAAAATAGAATGACATAAATGATTTGTTAAAGAGAATTAAAAATTTCCTATGTCAATTCTACCCAAAGCAATCTATACATTCAATGCAATTCCAATCCAGATCTCATCAACATTCTTTAGGGATATGGAAAAACCAATCACTAACTTTATATGGAAAGGAAAGAGACCTTGGATAAGCAAAGCACTATTGAAGAAG